CTACTAAAAAGCCCGCTCTCTGAGTTTCATCACGCCTCATCACTTTCAAGTGACAATCCTCATAACCGGTCCTGAAGAAGAAATGAGAAGCCCATTCTAGGCAAAGCTTAAAGCTGAATTCAAAATGATAAACCTGTATTTCAGATTTGACAATTTCACACTTACAGAATCATAGAATCATTAAGGTTGGAAAAGACCTCTAAGATCATCGAGTCCAACCGTCAACCCAACACCACCATGCCCGCTAAACCATGTCCCTAAGCACCTCATCTACACGTCTTTTAAATACTTGCAGGCACAGTGACTCAACCACTTCCCTGGGCAGCCTGTTCCAAGGCCTGACCACTCTTTCAGTAAAGAAATTTTTTGTAATGTCCAGTCTAAACCTCCCCTGGTGCAACTTGAGGCCATTTCCTCTCGTCCTATCGCTTGTTACTTGGGAGAAGAGACCAACCCCCACCTCGCTACAACCTCCTTTCAGGTAGTTGTAGAGCGCGATGAGGTCTCCCCTCAGCCTCCTCTTCTCCAGGCTAAACAGCCCCAGTTCCCTCAGCCGCTCCTCATCAGACTTGTGCTCCAGGCCCTTCACCAGCTCCGTTGCCCTTCTCTGGACACGCTCCAGCACCTCAATGTCCTTCTTGTAGTGAAGGGCCCAAAACTGAACACGGGATTCGAGGTGCAGCCTCACCAGGGCCGAGTACAGGGGCACGATCACCTCCCTCCTCCTGCTGGCCACACTATTTCTGATACAGGCCAGGATGCCGTTGGCCGCCTTGGCCACCTGGGCACACTGCTGGCTCATGTTCAGCCGGACCTCAACCAGCACCCCCAGGTCCTTTTCCTCTGGGCAGCTTTCCAGCCACTCTTCCCCAAGCCTGTAGCGTTGCATGCAACACTGCCTGATTTACCTAAAGAAGAGCTAAGATTCAGAAATAACATTTCTCTCTGGCACATAGTCTCACTGGGACACCTTTCTGTGCTTTTATAGATGTGTTATCTACATTCTCTACACATCTCACCTTTGGAGCTAGAAAGCTGCTTCAACAAAACTTGGTGGACAAGACTGTTCAAGAAGTGCTACTGACACTTTAAATTAGAGTTCAGACAGTACAAAACCAAAAATAGTCAGGAAAAACGATGTTTGCCTTCACAGAATACGCTGTATACCTCACATACACTTTTCTTTTGGTAATCCTTAGGCACACACTGGAAAAGAAAAAGACCCTCTGTAAAAAGCAGTCCCTCAACAAGAAAACAGATCACATTTTGGCTGCACACAATGATGAAACAGAGGAAGATACAAGAATGGTACTAAAACCAGGAAACTTGCACATGTATCTAAAAACATTCCTTAAAACACAAAATTCTAGAAAATCTGAGCATGAATTTAGCTTTGTAGAGCTATGTAAAATTTTTCACAGTTAAGTTCGACTTGCTGCATTTAAAAACAAAAGATCAAAAGTTACTGCAGAGGAGTATCCTGAGGACATTATACTGAATTTAATGTTTAAAAAAATACGCAGTCTTTTCTACAAAGTATTTGTTAATTTATGAGTCTCCCCCATTCTTTTAAAAAAAAAAAAAAAAAAAAACCAAAACAGAACAGAAGTCTGGAAAAAATCCACATGCACTTTAAAAAAAAAAATTCAAAATCAGTCCTTCAGAATAAGATGATTCTGTGTTTCTCCCCTTAGGCTTTTCTCTTTTTAAAAAGATAACATCTGTTTCCATAGCCATTTAGCAGGCCAAACATTTCACTGAAGTTGTATCGCACTTAGAAAAAGCTCCATCTTCTATTCCCTAGTGTAAGCCAATCATCTGCAACCCAGAGGCAGTGACCACTGCCCAGAGGCAGTGACTCTGATTAGTGACAGTCCTGTGACCAACTGCACCACCCAATGTCTGGGTGAATGTGTACGGTGATTTGTAGTCAGTCTCTTAGAAAGAGAGAGATCTAGTAAGTTTGGTGGGATTCCTAGCGAGCCACTGCAGTTTTAACCATGCAGTAAAACCGCACTAAGCAGCACAGAAATAACTGCTTTCTTTTGATAGAAAACTAATGAGAGAGCGCTAATTGAATAAATTAATGGATGAAGAGGGAAGGCAGTTTCCCAGTGTGTCGCCCTCAATTCCTTTTATAATGGATGTATTCTACAAAATTAATTTGAAGTGAAAATTCACCTGGATTGCTTCAGACCTTTGCCAGATCTCTCTGTGCTAATGCCTGAGCTCAGAATGATGCTCATGTTTAGAATTCACCTTCTCTTCATTTACAGAATTAACAACCACTTTTTTCCCCCCAAAACATTCATCTAGCTTTCATGACACTTAATTGTACAACCAACATAAAAAAAAAGCCACAGGACCGTGCTTTTGGTTATGCAATGTGTTTTTTAAAATAAAAGCAAAATCTTTGCCTTCTTCTGTTCCTAGCTCCTTGAAAAACGGTGCTTTACTAGAAAACGTGGGGGGACACTGCGGTACAGCACGAGGCTGGCACAGCCCTCGTGCTGTCTTGTGTTAGTGACCACACACAACTTCCACTGCCTTCAGGAGGCAGTGCCAGAGGAGAGCCACTTTGTCAGCCAGATGGTTTTCAAAGAAAGAACAGGATGGATGACCTCAAGCAACTATGTTCAATATAAATAACATGTTTGAGAACGGAGTTTTTATTTTTAAATATATTCACTCACAAACATTCCCCTCCTGAGAAAATAAGAAGTGAGTGTCCTCAACGTCCAAAGGAGTAAGTGGGAACTGGGGGTACTCCACGGCAATTATTACAAAGGACTGAAAATGCTGGATTATACCCTGTGGGATTTAACTTACCTTAGCTATGTCTATAAAAACTTATTATTTTTTATTTTTAAAAGATGCTAGATACTTGAAAGAGTTTATCAAAAAACCTAAATCAAAGATAGACAGGCATGCCTATCAGGCTGAATATATCCTTACCTCTGTTGTAAAAAACATGCAATTCCATCACTCAGAATGATGAAACTACAAGTCTTAAAAGAAAGATTCTGCTCAGATCTATTTTAAATCAGCAACAAAACTCTCACCAGCGCTCATGGATTTCAAGTGGCAGTGGAGACAAAAGCTCAGTGTGAATGAGTTCCTGGACCTTTCATCATTCAAGAAGGAAACAGGAAACCCAACATATATCTCACACACTCTGGTATTACACAGTAGCATGATGGGGGGTTTAGGCCCAAGAAGGCATAAATTTGGCTGTTCCTTACAGGATTCTTACCTTGTGGTAACTTAATACTGTTTTGTACTTTAGGGGCTCAACAGACTGAAAGTAGAAATATTTTTAATCATGAAAGTAGGATAAAAATCACTTATAGCATACAATAAGAACCAATGAGAATTTTATAGAAAAATGCTGTACTTCAGGCATCTTGAATACCAATCCTGAAGTGCTGTGAACCATGAAAAAAAACAATGGGAAGGGGTGTCAAACCTTTATTCAGACGAAGCTCTCAATGTATTCAAATTAGAATGTTTAAGCTCCATTTAGCAGTCTGTGCGTTTTACAGCACAGACCACACTCCAGGCTGCTAATGATAATGCTATCAGGAAGATTCTTGTCTGTTTATTAGGCACTTCATTTAGGTGGCTTAAATATTAGCACATATCCACAGTTCATCCCAGGAGAGACTGCAGTTCATGCTGCAATTCCAATACAGCTTTTATAACCAGGTAAGCACTGGAACAGCACAACTCAATACTGTCCAGTTTGTGGAGCTGCAGTAATGTAGAATAAAAAAATCAGACAAAAAAAGAATAAGAACTGGAAACAGCATCTCCACAGCATGCAACATTAAGTGATGTAGACATGGAACATCTTGGAAAAAGCTGGCACAGCAAATATCTCTCCGAAATCCTACTGAGACCGATTTCATTGCACTACGCTTAGTCCCAGCACAGACAAAATTCCAGCGGTCAGACCTGTTTCCACTGCTTTCTGCTATACCTGCTTTTGACAGGTTGAATTGACTGTTCCTTTCTACATTAATAATTGGGTTCAGAGAAGTAGTGCAATTTTGAAACAAATCAACCGATCAGTCCCACTTACTGAGCACTAGTTAAATTCAGAGAGTAATTTTAGTGCACGTGAACTGGATTCCTTGAGAAGACGATTAAACCCCATGTGCCACTATAGCTACCCACTAGCTACGCTCCAGTTCCTAGTGTGGACACAAAGAGTGTCCTTTGGACAGCTCCAAACCACACTCGCAGCAGGGATGTTTGGATCTAGGGACCTGATTAAACATAATACCATGGAAAATCCCAACCCTAATATGCTGCTGATGCTAGGGTCTCAGCACCAGCTGCTTTGACCTACCGATCCACTCCTTTTGAGCCACATCATTTGCTAATGCACACACTGCCCACAGGCTCTTGCATGCCAGCCTAGAGCTCCTTCCAGCTCCCTCCTCTGAAATATCCTGAACAGCACAAAAGAGCACATAAAAATCTCCTTAGAGGATTTCCTTTTACAAGAATTCTTCATAAACAGAAATTCTCATTCCTTCAGAGTTGATACAATTTCAGTTCTACAAAATCAAAGACTTATACCAAATACCTTTTCACAAATGTTAAGAATTTATTTGTCCAAAAATCTGTATAAACATTGGACAGTAAGCATGTCAAGTTACATGATGAATACAGTACTCTGAATTTTCCAGTCTGTAAGCTAGCCACCAGCAAAGGTGAATACAGGAAACTGCATGCACATTTGTTTTTTAAGAAGAATGCATTTCATCTTCTAGGTCATTGTGGAATCAGATCTACATTAATTAGAATCATGTTTTTACATAGTTCACTGCACTAAGAAAAGCAAAGAGAAATCCAAGGTAATTCTCTGCAGTCTTACCTCAACTTTATCTTTAGATTAATTATGTAGTGTGCCAGAACACATATCAGAAAAGGAAATTTGAAGTGGCAAAAGAGCAACAAACACAGAGAAACATTACAACATGGTTCTGACTTACCTATGTGATAAAGTCCTATCCAGTCAGTCGGGTCTACTTCTTCCTTAATATCCCAAAAAATGATGAGGTTCTGAGATTGCCCCAAGGTGTATTCGTACATACTAGCTGTCAAACTAGACCTGCTATCCGAGGTCACTAAATCAGTGTCGCTGTTGGCACGCTGCAGGTTCATGTTCTCAGCCATGGTGCCCTGAGATGCCAAACTCTGCAGATTCTCTGGGCTCAGAGTATACCGTAGCTGTGGGTTGCGACGTCGCACAAAAAGCAGATGTTCTCGGGCTGAACTGGCCATCTCTTCTCCACTTTTGTCAATTTACGTGAAAAAGTTGTTGTTCAGAGATCTATCATGAAGAAGAAAAAAAGAAAGTGTAAAGTGAGACAGCAGGTTACTCAGTCAAATATTAAATGGAGAGGCATTAGTGCAAAAGTGTTCCTACAGAAGCCTAAAATGGACTGAGTAAAATCTTTTACTTCATCGCTCTACCACTGCAGCCACCTCAGTGTCTGTACATAAAAAAAAAAAACAAACAACCATAGAATCACTTACAACAAAATTCAGAGTTAACCATGCACCATGAAATAACATTTATAAGCCAGAAAGCAACAGAAAGCAAAACATCCAAGACCATCTATCAAGCAAGAACAGCCACAGTAACAAAGCTAATTTAAGTTTGGCAGTAGCCTAAAGAGTGAAGAGATAATGAACTCATCCTCCACCAAAGAAATCACAGCAGTATATGATGTATTTTCACTTAGATATGTTAGTCTCCAACAATACTCTCTATGCACTGTATGTTCAGAATCAGTAAAGTGTTGAAGATATTAATAAGGTTGGACGTATTTCAAATATGGTGTCACAGATTTGTGCTACTATAAAATAATTTTGTGAGGATTTTATTTTTTAAGATACGAAGCATAGCTTCTGAGATCCTCTATACCATCCAAAAACATGTCAGACCATTGACTGGGGCACTTTAGACTACGGATATATATATTCAATTAGCCCATGTCAGTTTACCTGTGCAGTCAGATTTTGTTGTTCTTTTCCATACATCAGAAAACAGAGGCCTTGTAAGTTCAACAGCTTTCCTCTAGCCCTAAGGAGACACTAGAAGGTCTTCACTGAAACGGTCATGCCAATATCATCACACCATAACTTCAGAAGCAGAACTTGCACCTCATTATCCACAGCTACCTAAAGTACTGCCATCTGAAAATAAGCCCTCACGTTACTCACAACTTGAGATAAATCATCAGAAAGGAAAGACAAGAATAGCAAAATATTAAAACAGAGGGAACAGCTTATAGGAAGATAGAATCGGCGATGGGGAAGCTCTTGCCAGAGAAGGAATATCTAAGCTACATGACTTTGACCAAAGCTGTTCGCCTTTTTCAAAAGCTACAGTTTATATCAACTCACTGTTTCTTTATTTTACAGAGGAAATAAAACCTGGCAGAACCATTTGCCTTCAGCAGAAACTGAATTTTCTGGTAATGTGTTTTTCAGTCAAAACTGTGAAAATGATCTTCCGTACTATATTCACCTGGAATAGGAACCATGTATTTCCTCCAAGCCAAACCAAACCAAAGCAGTCCTCCTGCCCAATAGTAACTCCAGAGCTCACCGGGAAGAAATTGTGTCCTGGCCTCCTTACACTCCTCATACAATTTGAAAATAGTATTTCAACATTTCTGACCAGACTGCAACTTAACCAGTGACAACATCAATTATTCCACTATAGTATCTTCTGTGAGGGATGTATACTGCAGGAAAGATCTCCTTGTTTTTATACATACAAATAACCACATATAAGAAAAATGTGTGCATGTACACGTATTAAAAAAGCAAGTAAGAGGTACCTGTGTATTATTCTCGGGCTTTCTTCTTGGTGTCATAGCCTTCAGCTATCATACGCAGATACATTTGTTCTCTTAAAATAACCCAAGCATTGTCAGACAGTGCTGAATGTCACCTGCTATAATGTTCCTTGTTTTAAGGAAGGAAGCCTGTAATGCAGAATTAGGTAGAGCCCACAAGAAGTGAATGGATTGGTTGGCCACTTCCATAGTATTATAATTGTAATTAGACCTACAGTGCACTACCGCTATCAATCAAATGTCTGACAACTGGTTTATTAAACGGAAACCTCTGCCTCCAGAGGTCAAAAGACATTTAATTATTAAAAAGAAAAAACAAGTGCAGAACTTGGAGATCCCAAGATTGTGATGAAGAAAAATTCATTAAAAAAAAAAAAAAAGGGCATTTTCATATTTTGAGGGTTTTCTTTTCCTATTCATTCCTCTTTCCTCACATGATGAATCTTCAAAAACTGCCTCTTCCCTTCACTTCTATTTCCTAACACTCATCTTCAATTTTCTTTTTAATAACATTTCAATGTATGCACTCTTCCAGTATATCACAAATTCTTCTGCTATTTTTCAGCTTTTCATAGATTGGAGATGTTTTGAAACATTAAGAACTAACAAAGGGGAAAAATAAAGTTCAACTCATCCAGTTGTATGCAATTCACCACACTCTGTACACAGTTCAGCATCAAATCTTGCAGAAAAGGAAAGAAACAAAAATTCCGTTCATATGCAGAAGTGACAAGGAGATTACCATATTTACTTCACAAAGTATGTGACACAGTCTTTCCTGACATGAGCAATGTTTGGCTGCATACACAAAACATTTTATTTTTGGTGCTGGACGTCAGCGGGGTTCACTAACTCCTTCTCTGTCATGTTCCCACACGCTGCCTCCGACACCAGTGTCAGTGACGAAAAGGAAACTTTGGTACAAAGGGCCTTCTTAAATGAGTCAGGGAAGTTAGTATCTTGTTTCTCTACGCGGATCATTATTCAGTAGATCTGAAAATCCCAGGTGAGATTACCCCTGAGACCAGAAGGGTAAATAAGAAATAGCCACCAACTTCCTGACAAGCCAGTGAAACACGCAGGGATCAGCCAGTCACTGCGATGCCCCCCCCCCTTTTTTTTTTGTCCCCCTTCTTTTTCACTTTGTGATCTGGGCAACGGCACACAAAAACAGTTAAGTCTTAAATGTCACAGTGAAAGAGCTGAACACCCTAGTCAGGAAGAGCCCCGATTTGCACCTGAGCCTGCCTGCCCCAGCAGGCACGAACCCCTGCCCGGGTACCACCGCCCTCCGCACCAGGAGATCCGGCGGGATTAATTAACAGACTGACAGTGCATTATCAAGTTAATTTTCTTCTGTCCCACAACTAGAGATTTATGTAATTTTGAACTACCGTATACAGTGGTTTTACAGCAGTAAAATCACTGCAAAATAAGTGTCATGCAGGAGGATTACAAGTTAAAGACAAAGTTTTAATAGGAGGGACAAAAAAATTTCCTTCAGCTGCAGAGCAGTACACTGCACCGGGGCAGCACTGGCGTTTGTTGGAACATACTGAAAATTTGTACGTGGCAGATGGACAAACTCATCTATGTTTAAGGACACATGAGAACTAACTTGTACTGGCTAGGACTATCCCACAGTTTGAGAGATGAGAACAGCCTGAGAAAAACGTTAACTCCTTTGCAACAGTCCATTTTCTTCAGTCCTAACTGTTATCACTCTGGTGAATCACAGACATCATTACAGTTTCTGAAAGTAAAGCACACCACAAATCTAAATGCCGGGTAACTTCTCTGATCCTACTCATAAATCCAAGGATCTTAAAGTTGTGATTTAAACAATGATTGCAACAAATCACATAACTTAAATCAATTTGCAACTAACAGATTAAACTTGCATATAAATGAGTTCCTATTACAGAAAAAATACCTCCAAAAATTCAGGACTCAGGCTTTTAGAATATTTTCTAAATTCAGTGAAATAGGTTGTCAAGGGGCCCTAGTGTCAGACAGTACTCTGCTACGTAGCATCTCACAGTAGGCTGGGAGGTTAATTAAGGAGATTTGTAAAGAGGGAAATATGACACTCGTATTGTAAAAGGGGAAAAGGTGATTGCCATAAAACCCAAACCATAAGGAGTGATGGAAGGGAAAAAAGAGCCACTACTTGAATTATTTGCAGTCTGAAAATTCAGTCTGAAGATGGGATGAAAACCTTACACAGTGCCTTCCTGCCTACAAAGGGAATTGCTTATCTGACATGTGGTTAACAATTCCCGATGTCTGTCATTAATAACATAACTAACAGTACACTAACACATACATCCTACCAGAGACTGAAAATAGGAATTATCCTCCCACCGCCAACTCCTGCTAAGCGCCACTGAAACAGCATTTGCATCCAGACTATACTGTAAAGACAATACCCACGATTAGCTGCGCGCACCTGCCCTGCCATGAAGGTTTGGCTAATGAGGCTGAATGGGATCAGAGCAGCGATTTCACTAAGTATCAGACCAAGCTGGCAAGGCATATTGTTTCGTGAAGGCAAGCTGAAATGCGGAAACTGAATCAAAAGCATAGGGAAAATGTAGGCATTTGAGGAATCAGCAGATATTACATTCAGCAAAGTATTTTAGTTGAAAAGTGAAACCTGTACCAAAGCTGCTTATCCGTATCACAGTGTTTTCTTCAATACTTGACAAGAAGCTTAAGAGAGAAATAGGACTGATTTCCTCTTAAAGTGGCACAAGTTCAGGATTATTTCTAAATATATCCCTCAATTACTAATCATAGAGGGACCAGAACTGGGAAAAAGTTCCACTTAATATACAAAATACAGATGGGAAAAATCCGCTTGCCCAACCTTCTTCACTAAAGGAGATTGAAAAGAAACGTCAAACCATTTCTGACATGCAGTCAAACATTCAGCAGTTTAAAAAAATACATGAATGGAAGTCCGGCAGTTCCAGCACAGGAATAACCAAAAAAATCCCACCCCACCATGCAAAACAAACCAGAGTTCACATGCTGCCCTGTTTATCTCACTCATAACAGTGATTCATTTCTTGTTTACATAGTGATCTTTTAAGTGGCTTACGGGTCTTGCTAACAGCCTCTTCCCACAGCATTTACTGTAAACCCACCCTATAGGGCTGTCCCTGAGAGCACAACCTGTCACCCGCTGGACAAGATTTGTGCTCTGCGCGGGTGGCTGAGGGTGCTGCCGGGGAAGCGACGATTAACACATTTCACTGGGGGACTGGCTTCACGTCACCGCACTGCAACGTCCCATCACCCGCGAGAGGAGCGAGGCGAGGAGGTGGGCAGCGCGGCAGCCCGCCAGCCGGGGCTCGGCAGGGAGAGCCCTCAGGGAGCACTCTGCACCTGAGCGTCTCTGTCGCTGCACGT